TCAACTTAATCGCAGGATACATCTCATTTCTTTCAAACACAGTATCCCTCCATGAGACCCCGAGAAAGGAAGAAGGTGGCTTCCTTCCTAACTGCTCATTTCCCTTCTGACACCCCCATCTTTACCTTAGCATTAACTATATTAACTCAGCCTCTTACAAAAACACACACTTTACTTAAAGATAACAGCAGTTCAAAAGCACATCTTCTTGTCTAGCCCCAAAATCAGTTTTTAAGCAGCCTATAATCAACTTTGGAGCATAGAATATATGTTTGTGTGTGTTTATGTCTCTCACCTACTTACACATACACATAGGAGTTAATGCCTGTTGGCTTTTCTTAATTTGCAGTTTCCTGTATAAAAGGGACCAAATTCTGACTAAAACCACTTAATATCACTGAAGCACAAGTTTGAAATTTGCCTTTTACCTGTAAGCCTGGTAGCTCAAAATCTTACCAGAAGTCCTTACTGATGACACTTTCTGGTGAGTAGTGAGTACAGTGTTATAAATCAACATCACAACTCTGTACCTGCCTACCTTCAGCATGCAAGAAAAGCTGAAGAGCTAAGCAGCTGAGAGGCAGCAGAGGCAAATACTGGATAACAGGCCTGCAGCTAATCACCAGAAGTGACTAGCTATTTGTGCTCTGTTAAGTTTACCTGGAAAACTATGTGCCTCCAGAGTCAAAAGTTTGGAAAACAGCATTTTAGAGGGATAAAGCCCCTGACATTAGAGGGGAAACACTGTCAGCATGTGGTAGAGCAAGCTGAAATAATCAGCAAGGAGTGGTTCCTCTGTTAGCTATATTACTGTAAGTTTTGTAATCTGCACTGTTTTTAACTTATAAGTTTTAATGTGAAGCAGCTGTAATATTTGTATAAATTTCAAATAGGCACAAGATAATTTTGTCAAAATGAGTTGGAGCTAAAGACTTCGGTAACCACTGCTGCAAGCTGAACTCATGGGAAAGCAGAGTGCCTTGTGAGAGCTATACTGGTTTACAGATCTATTGTGAAAAACAATGTATTTCAGTTATAGAATTCAAATGTAGATGAGTTGTTATAAGTGGAAAAATGGTGACTAGAAAACAGCAAGTCAAAGAAAGGGCAAGTAGATCACTGAAAGGTAGCATGTAAAGGTCTCTCCAAGAACTGATGAGATCTGGAGAAGAGCAATCATGTGGATCCACAAGAATGAACAAACTCAGAATATGAGGAGTCTGTCAAATTTGTCAAGGCCACAGTCATACACTGGCATCAACAAAGGGTTGTCTAACTCATTCTACATCCAAGCACATAACGACTGCTCTATGAAAAGACAATAGGATAATATATCCCATATATAAGATGTCTTGAGGGCCTTTCTAAACGTACATTAGAAGCCTTACACAACAATATTCTGCTTCTAAGTAAGCAGCTGGAGTTGGCCTCACAGCTGATGCATGAAAAAAAACCTATGCATGAGTGTCTTTGTGTGATGGAATAATTGAATGTCATGTTATCTGCTACTAATAATAACACCTTGATTTTCTTAGTAATAACAACTTAACTAATAAAGTTGGTCTTATAAGCACTGATGGTGATTTTTGCCTCTCCTGACTCAATCCCTATCAGGAAAATTTACAGCTCTCTACTAATGAAATCATCCTATCCTTCCTTGACTCGGTAGGGTTAGCACAGTCTTATCAATGGTTGTTTGCCTAAATCCCATCTGGGGCCTACCTGACCAATAAATATTCCATTAATGCTTTTTTCACTAAACACTTTCTGACCCACTATTTTGTGGGTCACAGTATAATGAAATCTGAGACTTTGGATGTATGCTAGGGAGAGTGTATTTTCAAGTACTAGGAGAAAATGTGATATGATTTCTATGGAGTTTAATTTTCCGTATCTCTACAGCAATCTCCTCATTCATATTGAGCTTCAGATTGACTTTTCTAGGGAGTTTTAGGAAGCAGAGTTCAGTACTGATATACCATACCACCCTCCATATTTGTAGTTTTATCAGCTCAGTGTTTATCAGCAAAGGTATGATTTATTTAGGTCTTTGATGGTAATTTCAGAATCACAGAGTCAAGAGATTTAAAAGGGCCACCTCAACCATCAAGTCTGTGCCCTGCCCAGTCATTTCTTGTCAAGATCTTGTTCATTACTAGATAGTTGCTTCTGCTGTTACTGTTTTTACTGGAAGGTGATTTCAGGATCTTTTATGATTGCTAGAAGCCTCCTTGCAACATTCAGTCTTACACATTCATAACAATTTCATGTTTTTCTTCACCCTATACAGTCTTTTTCTCAGTTAGGATAAATCTCTCTAAAGACTGAGGGGGGATCTTATCAATGTGGCTAAGTGTCTGAAGGGAGGGTGTAAAGAGGATGGTGCCAGAATCTTTTCAGTGGTGCTTTTTATAATGTAACTTAGCATTTCCCCAGAGATGGAATGAGAAGGACCACACTATCTTCTCTCCTCCAAAGCACTTCACAGCTATCACCTTTCTGAGAGGGCTGCACTCCTGGAGCCTGGAGACTTAGAACTGCTGCAAGATTCCTTTGAGGCAGCTATGTGGATCTGGTATGTCGAGTCTTGAAGTCCCACTTTTTGGTAAGGGTAGCTGCAGAATCAGAGTTGCTCCAAGCTCAGGGTATCCTATGTCATATCAGCTGGACCTGTAGGCATACCCTTCTCTTGCTTTGTTTTGGCATCTCAGTGATGCTGCTTAGTTGCATTTCAGTTCTGCAGGCTGAGGAAGGATGCTTTATTCCTACAGTCCATAGGTAAATAATTTCCCATCACTATCCCAGATTGTTGAGGGCCTTGACAGCTGAATTTCACTTTGTTTCCTGTAGTGGGCACCAGATTGGATCTGATGAGACTGCAGCTTGGCCCAGGCATAGGAGGTGGCAAATCTTCCACCTTTACATCATTTTCTCACTCTTCTAGATACCATTGGCCTGAACTGCTATTGGCAGGAACAGCTGTTATCGCTCCCCACATTGCAATCCACAGAATGCCACAGAATGCACAGAACAGGCAACTGATGTGTTTCCAGGTGCCATGACAGAAACCAAGCTCTTCACAGGGAGACCACACTGGCCTGTGCTCTGTTTTTCCCACAAACTGCCCTCCCTGTGCTTTGAGCCTCCTTCAAGCCATCTTTTTGCTTACAGCAAGACCTAAGTGGTCTTTGCAGGAGTAGAGAGGAAATTGCAAATGACAGGCCCAGCAGCTCATCTTTGATGAGTTGCTACTGACTGAGGCTACCACTGCTGTGTTCTGTGGGAGGTTTGGTCAAGTCTAGTATTGATGTGCCTGGACCTGTGGGACATGATGGCATTCTTGTTGCTCGTCCCACCCAGTGCTGCTACTGGAGGACAGGGAAGAGTACAGAAGAAATATTCATTAGTGTTCCTTGTTTAAGTCTCCTGAAAGCTCTAGGTAAAACTTGAATCAGTTGCTGAAAGGAGGGCTCCTTGCTGTCCAGAAGACCTACCCCAAGACTGCTTAGTACTGCCAGGCCTCTCACTAAGTTCTTTAAAACTCCACTACAGCTTTCAAGAAGGGACTTCCTCACTGACTTCCTGCTCTAATTCCTTCCTCACAATTAAGTGCAAGAGGAGAGATTATTCATGCTGCCATGTGGGTGAATCCTGGCAGGCATCATAAAGATTAGGTAGTGCTCAGTTGCAGAAGAGAAAGGTGGAAGAGACCCTCTGGGTACCCCTGTACTGCTCAATAAAAAAGAAAATGCAAGCATTTAACTTTTGTCCATGGCACAGGTGCTGTATCAACCCTTAGTTTTGTTTTAGCTCACCTCGAGAAAAATATGTTGTAAAAAGAATTAGCCCTTTGCAATTTTGGCACAAGTCAGTCTGTGCCACTTGGCATCTGATCTTTTATTTAGCACTGTGGACAGTATTTCTGCTGATTGCTTGAAAGTGAGGTGAACCTCTAACCACATCCTTTTCTGTTTGCTCTAGATGAATCCCCAAGACACTTTCATGTCTTAGTTGGCTGTGTGTGAAAGCAGTCCCGACATACATCTCAGCTGTGGGTTCCTGCCTCACAAGCTTGGCAGTTTTTCTCACTGCACAATCCATGGGTGATACTGATACTTCAAAGACATGCTGCAGGAACATTTTTATGTTCCCCATGCTGCATTTCTTAGCAGATGGAAAGTGGCAGGACTGAAGAGCTTCAGAAGTCAGCTAAGAACTCTCTCTTTCACCCTGCTAATATCTCAGTGGGCCTATGAAATAATCTTGATATACTCCCATGGAGCAGTGGGCTATTTATTGGGCTGTTCATGCCAGGGATTGTCAATTTTGCAGGGATTAAGTATGTATATAGACAGAGCTTGAAAGGAAAAAAGCTTTACTCTGTGCTTCAACTAGGTTGGGGCCCAGCCCCATATTTATCTTTTTCCTTCTTACCTTGCAAGCTGGAAAACAATGGGTTATGACCATTTTTTCCTCCTAGTAAGGATATAGATAACTGAAGGTTCAATACCAAATTCTCCTGCAGAGAAACAGAGAAGAAGCAATCCTCATCCAGAAGTACCCATAGAGGTGCCAACAGGGCCCTGTGGAAGAGAGAATGGTACTCACTCAGCTCCAACTCTAGTTATCATGCATCCTGTTCCACAGCTAATCTCTCTTGACTGATTCATAGACTCATAGAATCTTTAAGGCTGGAAGGGACCTCTAGAGATCATCTAGTCCAACCCCCTGCACACGCAGGGTCACCTAGAGCACATGGCACAGGGCTGCGTACAAGCGGGCCTTGAAGATCTCCAGAGACAGAGAGTCCACAACTTCTCTGGGCAGCCTATTCCCAATCTCTGTCACCCTCACTGCTAATAATTTTTTCCTTAAGTTCCTGCGGAACTTTTGGTGTTTCAGTTTCTGGCCGTTTCCTTTAGTTCTGTTGGTGGCCACCACTGGAAAGAGGCCGGCCCCCTCCTCCTTGCTGCACCCCGCACTCAAGGAGTGGCGCCGCCATGGGGGACTCATGGTCCTCCGGAGATTCCCTTCATCAGTGCAAGGTAAAATCTCCTAATGGTCCCACTATGAAAATAACAACAAAAAGTTCAACAACAACAAGGCTGCAAAGTGGCCTGTTGATTTCTGGGTATTTACTTGGTTACATTATCACATGTTTACAGGAGAGCTGCAGGTCCTGCTGCAGAAGCCCAGATACCAGCAAGTGTAGACAAAAAGTGTTTCTGAGAACATTTCCTGCAGTCAATATGCAGTCAATATGCAGTCAAGTAGTTATGTAGCTGGCCTAGTTTCAAATATATTGTGCTAGTGCAGAAAACCCAAATGGTGAGGTGGCAGTTCTGTCACTGTATCACAGCCAGCAGAATGGCTTCAGGAACAGCATGTCTTGAAATATCTCCATAAGAAACACAGAAACAACTGCAAACCTGTGGCCTAGGTGCCCATTTCCATTTCTGTAAAGGAATACACTTCATTCAGCTCTCAGAACACGTATCAGGGAACTCTAACCATGAACACAGGCAGCCAAAAGCCTAGCAGAGGAAAAAAAAGGTTGCACAGCTTGGTAGTGCACTAAGGCCCTAACAGCCTGGATGTTACTGAACTAGGAATTCTAGATGAACAGCAGATAGATGCCACCCGACAACATGAGCACTGACAATAATGTGTCAGTGACATAAAGATGATTGTAAATTCAGACTTGTGCAAATGGACAGTCCTCTGCAACTCCTTCTAGCTGCTGAGAACGAGTCAGGTAGTCACGGTTATGATTCACAACAGCCTTCAATTTTGCCCTAACTTCAGTGTTCTAAAATGGATGACAGGGTGGACAGAATTTTCAGCGATGATCACACATAACCTGAAACAACAAAAAGAAACTCAGGAAACAGGAAGTCCTATGAGATTGACACTGTTGTAGTTCACATCCTAATGAAGATGGTCTTTCAAGAGCTTCTACCCATACAGTTCTGAAGTACTAAACTAAGAAGGAAACACTGATCAATGCACACTGCTGAGAAAGAGTGGGTGTCATTTGTTACCCACACAACTACCACCAGTGACAGAATCCCACTTCTGCACTTTTTATAGTGAGAATACAATTGCTCTTAAGGAGATTGACAGGTTACATTTTTAGAGATTGTTCCTTCCCTTGTTCTCTTCCAAAGTAATTTATAAAATGAACAGTATTTTGTGTATTCATATTGCTTTGTCAAGTGAGAAATAACCATTTTACATATTGCTGTACCTATACCAAAAATGTTGGTCCCATTTAGTAAAGCAAGACTATATCAATGATGACATCAGAAGCGCCATCATTCATATATGGTCATAGTTGCAATTTTTGAATTTTATTGGAGGCTTCGGCTCTTTCAGATTGAGATTAATCATTGGTAAAGTCTAAAAAGGTGAACATTATTTCTATTGGTTCCTTAGTGCAGCTGATGCTAGCACGCAAATCTATGTATTTCCTTCTTTGTAGTCACTTGTCAGATACAGAGAAGGCTTTGCAGAGAGTTTGGTCTAGGCAGTCCCTAACAAACACTGAAGTTTCATCTAAGGATAAAATTGGGATGGCAAGAAAGGGACATATTTCTGTTTTAGTGTTGAGCTTGCTTCTCCTCTCCATTGGGGTCTCTCTGGGTAAGTAAATGCTTTATTTTGTGTAAGAAAGATGATGAGCAACGAAGAGAATTTAAATTCAGTATACATGACTTGTTGTTCCATCAGTTTCTAAGGCATAATGTGAAGAAAGTGAATATCTTTTCATCTTCGATTCAGTCTCTTTGATTTTGAGAGAAAGAAGGGTAAGCCATTTGTAATAGCTCTGCGTTTTTTCTAGACATGAGTGACTAGCCATTCCTGTAGGACGATGAGTCCAAGTTTGACTATAGTGAAGCTGACAGCGCCAATGCTTAGGTGTTTGATACGGACAAGCTTTAATGCAAACCAAGCGGATATCCAAACTACTGTCTTGCCTCCCCTGTCAACTTCTGCATAGACAGAATGAATAACTCCAGTTCTTTATTCAACAGCAGCTAAAGTGATTTTGCTGTGCTCTGTGTGTCCACTGAGTTTGGCTGAGTCACATATTTTCCGCTCGGTTGTTCCAGTGTATCTGTTTTCAGATCTGAGTTCATGACTGAATTTGAGTTCACCACTGTTTGTCTCTTTGTTGTTCTATAGCTATGTGGATATGTTAGAATCCCTATTTTTGTCTTTATACAAAGGGATGTTGTATGGGAATATAGTGGTTGCATCTCTAGGTGCTGAGAACAAGACTGTGTGGTTAATACTTTGTTCAAAGTATTCAAAGTATTCTTATAGGATCCCACCAGCTGTGTAAATGCAGTCAAAATACAGATAGATGAGAAGAGGAGGTGTGGGTGTCTCTGTGCAATAGGAATGTCAACCACAACCCCTTCCTGGGCTGCAGGGAGGCTGCAGTGTGAAGAGAGTGTGAGATTCACAGATGTTGGGGAGTAAGCTGCAACCTAAGGCTGAAACAGCTCAGATATGGCCAGGGCTGTCAAAGGGGTATCTGGGCAGAGGGGTGCAGGGGTCCCTAGTCAGGGAGGGGAACCAGATCCCTGGCTGGAGCAAGGCACAATCCAATGCCTTCTTCTCTGGGCAGAACCCCACTCTGTGCCTAGTATCATTGAATTCAATTAAGCCATTTGTGGGATATGCTATGGATCATCAGGAAAGATACAAAAGTATGTTTGTAGATACAATAAAAAATCACAAGAAAATAATTACAACAAATGACATTTTTCATTAGGTTGAAATAAAAACTGTTGCTTGGGTTATGCCTAGCACACCTTTACATCCAGCATTACATGCCATTGTGCGTTGAAAATATTAAATATTAAAAGATTTTTAAAATTCAGATGCAGAGGTAAATAGGTCAAGTGATGAGTCTATTTTCTTAATTCCTGAGTATAGCTAATGGAAAACATTGGTCTGTTATCTAAGGCTATCATAGTCTATTAATAATGTAATGGTCTCTCTTTTAATAAAAAAGTATGTATTTTCAGCTCAGAAATTTTTTTTTCTGGACTATGATCTTCAGGTAAATTATGGATCATTTGCCAGGACATCCTCCAGGAATAATCTTAAAGATTCGTTACAGGAAAAATATACTTAGCAGCAAGTAGGAAGGTATCTGTAGTTACCAGAGGCTGCTGCTATATATGTTGTAAACTTTCTTACTGAGGAAATTTGAAAAAAGAGTTTGAAGATAAATGATCTCTAGAAGTTAGTTATCAATCATTTAAATAATCGCCCACAAACTTCTAGCATTTTTGAACCTAAAGGGTGAAGAGCAAATCGAAAGGAAGTCCAGCAGTGCCAGCAGAGAAATTATGCCACAGACCATGTGTGAGTGGAATTGCCTCTTAGTGAATTATATCTATAATTTTGCTCTGGAATGAGAAATGGGAAATTGGTTAGTTGTTGCAACTGATGTGCATCAGCATTAGTTTGTGGGATAATGTTTGTATATTCATGAGGAAGAGAGAGAATAATTTAATCCACTTTAAAATTGAAAGCAAAATTATTAAAATTTGTTTCTGCAATAAGTATTTTGGCTCTCTAGGAACATCTCTCTTTTTTGAGGAAGAGAGAAAGGATGAGATAAATTGATCTGAATTTGTTTTCATGGAAAACTTAGTCTAGTGAACTTTAAATACAATTTTGTTATTATAATTTATCTCATATGAAATGCGACCATTGATTTGAGAGGATCTCCAAGAGGAGTCTTTCTGGACTATCTCCAAGACCTGTATAACTGCACTATTTTCTATCCACTTAGACTGCCCAGTGATGAATCATACCGAGTACTGCAGGTTTCTCTTGGACATGTGGTCAGGTTCAGATATCTTTCTTCTTTCCATTGCAGTGCTATTCCTTAAGAATTGTGGTTGTCATGAGTAACTGCGATATCCCTGGAGAACACTTAAGAATCACAAGATGGATAGCTAGTTCATGGTGGGGAGATAGGTCCAAGATCAAGGCAGGAAGTCAGTCTGCAGATCAGGGCCCAGATCACCAGGTTCGAAAACCAGACATGGACATGGCTGGGATAAAGCTGGAGACAAGCACACCTACAGCACAGTTCAGGAAAGGACAGAAGGATGAGGGTTGATCTTAAATGCAGCCCTGTACCCATGGGCAGAGTGAATGGGTGGAGACCCCTGGTGAAGCAGGTCAGATCCATTAGAGCACCCTGGGTGGACCTCAATGTGGATCAAATGTGTCTTATGAATATTGGCTGTAATTTTCCACTGAAGAAGCCATCATACTTGTGTATTGTATAAAAATTTCAGGAGTCTCTATAGCCATCTGATTAACCTGAATCAATCTTCAGAACTTTCTAGAAGTTTCCAGCCCTGTTCAGCAACTTCTCTCTTCCGTAATATGCAAAAAAAAATCAAATCTTTGAAAAAAAAAAAAAACAGATTGAATTTGACCTGAAAAAGCAGATCAAATTTAGGGGGAGTTTCTGGTGCAGTAGGCAAAATCTCCCTAATTTTTGTAGGCATTTAGCTGTCATTTGTCCTGAACCTGGAAATATCAAGATCCTGAATGTGTTTTTTTACTACTTGAGTTTCTAACCATTTTGCTTGCTTTCATGCTCTAAATCTCAGTGGGTTGTCATTCTCCTGGTTCATAATGCTAACATGGCACATTTTTCCTATTTTCTCCTTTTAAGTTTTCTTTCTGAGAAGCAAAACTGAATATCCAAGAAGCTGATTCCAGTAGTAGCATGAGATGACAGTAAAGTTTTACAGATAAACATGATGAACAGTACAGAAAGATTTTGACAGACATACTTTGAAGTAGTCCCCCAGGCTTCTTACTTCCATCAGAAAGACATTTTGATGCTTTCATTCCTCTCAGTTCCTCTCAAATGTGACAATATTATATGTGTAATTAAATTGAGCATTTATTTCCACAAAATAATTGCACAACTTTCTTCCTTTCAGGGTGGTGAATATTTCAAAGTTTAAAGTCTGTATCTTTTTCATGTTATCACTCTTTAAATCTCTTGTGATTATTGCTTAATAAACTCCATAAAATTCTTTCTTGTGCAGACACCGTTCATATGCTCACCTGGAAGTATGGAAGTACCAGGGCACCCAGATGCTTGTAGATTGGATGTTCCTGTAATATAAAGATTCTAGATGACGTACAAGCATACTTAGTGATTTTTAGAGAATCCTGAAATTTTTATACAATACACAAAGCACTTTAGAATATTGCTAGTGTTCTCTAGAGTTTCTTTCATATAGCAAAATGAGATATGAGCATAATGGCCTCCTTTTATGGTATATACAAATACATTATTTGAGCTTCATCATAAAAACATAAAATGTTGTTACCCCTGCATCCAAAACTAGGGATCCAAAAGATGAATGTATTTAAATGGCTTAGCATTTGGTGATCACAGAGGCACAATAGAGGTGATGCTGGTGCAGCACTATGCCCCCAGGTCCAACCAGTAGCAAGGCTAATAATATATTCCCAGTAGGCACACACAAAAACACTTATAAACAGTACACATATACCTACATACATGGCTGGCTGCAAGATCAGCACAGACACAAACAATCAACACTAACACTGACAAAACCAGCACCAATAGTCTCATTTTGTTTCTTTTTGTGGCTGATAAGGATGAAAGTGTGTTAGTTGGAAATATCTAGGATATGGATCCCTCGAAGTTTTAACAGTCTATCCAGTAGTTGTCCTCTGAGTATCTTGGTCTACTCTGTTTGCTGACACCCATACACTGCAAGACCCACCATTCCACCCCAATGTGTCTCACACGCACACACACACACATTACCCTTCACCCCCACAGTGACATTAAGAATGTTCTGTAGCTGGGCTTAGACACTTAGCTTATCAAGTTAGCAACTAGACATCCAGCAAGTGGCTCTGAATCCCCACTTCTCCCTGTTTTTTGGCACTTGGACACGCAAGCCAACCAATGCTCAGAGACCTCTCCTGCAGCTGCTGATACATATATGCCTTTGCAGACACATACTGTGAGTCCATCCCATAATAGGGCTTAGAAATTAAGTGCATCCAGTGTCTGGCTCCAGATCCATGCTGATCCCAGGTGCCTCCCACACAAATATGCATGGACACAAATATTCCACCTCCAGTGTCTCAGACTGCCCCTTGTACGATGGGAGTCCATCACTGCCAGAGGGTCCTCTACAGAGCTCCAGAGCTGCAACTGGAAACAGGGCTGGATCCCTCTGCAGACCTGATCCTGCGGTGAAAGATGGGCCACCAAAAGCATCGAAGCTCGACTTCACCAAGGCTTTTGACACCGTCCCTCACAACATCCTCCTGGGCAAGCTCCGGAAGTGTGGGATAGATGAGTGGACAGTGAGATGGATTAGGAACTGGCTGGATGGCAGGGCCCAGAGAGTGGTGATCAGCGGTGCAGAGTCTAGTTGGAGGCCTGTGACTAGTGGGGTCCCCCAGGGGTCAGTCCTTGGTCCAGTCCTGTTCAATTTATTCATCAATGACCTGGATGAAGGCACAGAGTGCTCCCTCAGCAAGTTTGCTGATGACACGAAACTGGGAGGAGTAGCCGATACCCCAGAGGGCTGCGCTGCCATCCAGAGGGACCTGGACAGACTGGACAACTGGGCAGTGCATCTCTAGCAGGTCGAGGGAGGTGATCCTGCCCCTCTACTCAGCCCTGGTGAGGCCGCATCTGGAGTATTGTGTCCAGTTCTGGGCTCCACAGTACACGAGGGATGTGGAGCTGCTGGAGAGAGTCCAGCGCAGGGCTACAAGGATGATCAGGGGCCTGGAACATCTGCCCTGTGAGGAGAGGCTGAGGGAGCTGGGCCTGTTCAGCCTGGAGAAGAGAAGGCTGAGAGGGGATCTAATCAGTGTATATAAATACCTCAAGGGAGGGAGTGCAGAGGACGGGGATGGTCTCTTTTCAGTGGTGGCCACTGATAGGACTAGAGGAAATGGCCGGAAACTGAAACATCAAAAATTCCATAGGAACTTAAGGAAAAATTTCTTAACAGTGAGGGTGACAGAGCACTGGAACAGGTTGCCAAGAGCAGTTGTGGAGTCTCCTTCTCTGGAGATCTTCAAAACCCGCTTGGATGCAGTCCTGTGCCACGTGCTCTAGGTGTCCCTGCGTATGCAGGGGGGTTGGACTAGATGATCTCTAGAGGTCCCTTCCAACCCTAAGCATTCTATGATTCTATGATTCCCAGTTTCCAATGCCACTCCAGCAGCTGCCCTGGAACTGCTAATCCTCTTGGTAGACCAATTCTTCAGTGCTCTTTCTTCCAGAGAAAGACATGTGCACTTGGCTCCCAAGCCACTTTACTACTCACTAGGCTAGTCTGGCTTGATATTTATAAGCTGTTATACGGTCACTTCAGTTGCTGGCACCACAGACACATGGCCACTATGACCTGTGACAGCTTTGAGAGGAGCAGGGGGAGGGTGTTCATTTCTTTGACTGGGTTATTGGGGTTATCCCATCTGCCATGGTTCCTTGGTGCTCTTTTTCACATGTGAGCATGAGCTTTATATCATGTAATACAATGCATGTCATCTGTCCTATTGCTTATGTACACAGTGCATTGCTTATGCACACACTCAATTGAATTTGCACAGACTTGGCAGAAGGTATCTTTTCATTATTTTTGTTTCTCCATTTGTTTTCACAAACATCTACAGGTGTCAACCTGAATTCAGAATATTAACTCAACATATATACTTTTTCCTCAAACAGATATGATTTTTTTTTCAAAAAAAAGGGTTTTTTTATGAACACTCAAAAAATAAAAATAAAAATTTCTTACTGGGAAAAACAAAACCTGAAAAATCCTCAGCGTATTTTTTAACATGTGGTTATGTCTTAGGTTATACATGTCAGGATTCCCAATGTTTTCTGTGCCTGTGTAAGTTGTAGGCTTGAACCTTTCCCCCTATGTTCCTTGGGCTCTCTTAGAAGACCTTTGTGTTGCTTGGATTCCTAAGAGCTTGTTCTACATCCCTATCATTCCTGCATTTGAATGTAACAAAATTCTTCCTGTGTTCTCTGACCTTTAAGTCCTTGTGCTAAACTATTGCATAATCACTTGAATTATCTATATTAGCTAGCCAACATTGTCAAGCAAGGAAACCTCATGTGCTTCTCTCTTCTATCAGACAAGAGTCATATGATCTGTGATGACCATAATGCTATTGTGTGGGGCCTTAGGTCATCGGACTGTGAACTGTGTATCCATACCACCGGAAGAAGCAGACCTAGAAGCTGAGGCACATGAATGGCAGGAACATGGAAAGGAGGACAGCAGGAGCAGGTGGTCTTTTGGGGATCTGTCTCACCCCAAGAGATAGTGGAGCATGAATGGCAGATAAGAATTGAACGCTTAGTTGTTTCTCTCCCACTTACACTCCTGCAACTCCCAAGATAATTTCCCATTCCCTAATGGCTACGTAAGTAGCCTTCTTTCCTGAGGTAACTCTCAATATGGGATCCCCTAACAAGGACCGTGGAAGAGGGAAGAAATAAAGAGTTTGGAAACAGTGAGTTGCAAGTAATACTTCGTCCGAGAGTTGAGACAGACATGGCAGTTGCATCTTCACAACATACTGGGGATGGGAATGAAGAAACTTGTGTCCAGTAGACATTTTCAGATGAATATCCTCAGGCATGGCAGAACAATGGAGAAAAAGGAGATGTGTCTGTTTTTTTCTGTCACAAACTTTTGTGAATCACACAGCAGGGACATTTTCCAGACCTTACTGCACAGAGGGAGAGAAAATTTGTCTGTCACTAGAAATAGCTTACATTTTACCAGTGTAGTTAGCTTAAACTTGTGAGTGCAAACACAATTCCCAAACTTCAAACGTCATGTGGAACTACTTAGAAATACAAACCTAACAAATCTGACAATAATAATGAAGAGTAGTAATGTAATTTACTAATTTTGGTACTAAATAGTGTTGAAGCTCCATAAACTTCTTCTGTCTCTATATATGAAGGTGATGATGAATTGAGGCTGATTAATGGACCTGGTCCCTGCGCTGGGAGAGTGGAAATAAAACATGAGGAGCAGTGGGGGACTGTATGTGATGGTGATTGGAAGATAGAAGATGCTGAGGTTGTTTGTAAGCAACTTGGATGTGGATCTGCTGTTCAGGCTCTTAATCAAGCTCCTTTTGGAGAAGGATCTGGACCAACATGGCTATATCGAGTTGATTGCCGTGGTGATGAATCTGCTCTCTGGAACTGCTCACATCCAGGGTGGGGTATATTTACCTGCCCTCACTATTTTGATACTGGAGTGATCTGCTCAGGTAAGAAGCCATCAAACCTTCTATAATAGAAAAATCCCATGAAAGAAAGAGATTAATTTTTGACTCAGATGATAGGTCTTTCTCTATCACAGAATCACAGAATGGTTGAGGTTGGAAGGGACCTGCAGAGATCAGCTAGTCCAACCCCCCTGCTCCAGCAGGGATACCTAAAGAACATTACGCAGGGTGGCATCCAGGTGGATTTTGAAGATCTCCAGAGAAGGAGAATCCAGAGCCTCTCTGAGCAGCCTGTTGCAGTGCTCTGTCACCCTCACAGTAAAGGAGTTCTCCTCATCTGTACTGGTGCCTGGGGTTATTCCTCCCCAGGTGCAGAACCCTGCAGTTTTCCTTGTTGAACCTCAGGCGGTTCCTCTATGTCCAACTCTTCAACCTGTCTAGGTTCCTCTGAATGGCAGCACAGCCCTCGGGAGTGTTGGCCACTCCACCCAGTACTGTATCATCTGCAAACTTGCTGAGGGTGCACTCTGTCCCCTCATCCAAATGACTGGTAAGTTGGATAGCACTGGACCCCTGGGGGACACCACTGCCCACAGGCTTCCAAGTAGACTTGGCACCGTTTATGACAACCCTGAGCTCTGCCATCCAGCCAGTTCTCAATCCAGACTATGACTTTCTCCACCAGCAAGCAACACCAATGTTAAGGCTTGTGCTATCTGCGGGTATATGTTTATTTTCCATAGGCATAGCAATGACACTTTTATCAGAAGCAGAAGTGGCAGCAGCAAGGCAATCTTTGTGTACATCATTTAAAACCAGGACAGGGCCCAGCTGTAAAAGGGAAAAGCAAGAGAAAGGGATGTGTGTTGGGGGGCAACTTGTGGTGTGTGTTGGGGGGGCAATGTGCGGTGCTCCATGTTTCTACTATAGCTCTTCCAAAAAACGAGAGCACTGCTGAACTTGAGTTTGGCCAGGAGAAGGGGCCGAAAAAACAAACAGATGTAGATAGAAGAGCAAGAAAATGCTCTGTTAGACAATGCAGCTGCTCCTTTCCAGATCTCCCCATAAGCTGAGAATCACAGAATCATTATGGTTGGAAAAGACCTTTAAGATCATCAAATTCATCCATAAACCCATCATCACCATGCTTACTAAACCATATCTTTAACTGCTTCATGCTGCATGAAGTGAAAGCACAAATTTCAGTTACAGACATCATCTAAAATGACATTCATCTAAAGAATTTTAAAGTCAACCATGTCAGCAGACTTGGTTTAGGCATGAAACTTCACTAAGCAGTGATTAGTACTGACAATATTGTTATCTGCCAATATATTTTATATATTGTCATCTTGCACAGAGGAGCTAGCCATTCTGGGCCACAGACTGAGAGTGAGATTTACAAGTGTATTGAAAATGAATACTCAGCTCTATTAAGAGAGTAGTAGAAGGCAGGCCTGCTTCTTTTTCCAGTAAGGAGAATTCTCAACCACCTTAAAGTGATAGTGGATGCAGCAAGTGGCACTCTGCATGCAGCATCAAGAATTAAATAAACACATCATCACAATAAACTAAGATTCAGATGCCTGTTCAGATGCCATAGATAAATTATGAAAAGAAAAGAAATGGCAATGAAATCCAATGCATGTTTTGCTGCCTTCCTCTGCAAGATGCACTTGCTTTCTTTTTTTTTTTCTTAAAGTACCAAGGCAAGGCATTCCTCCTTCCCAGGTGCAGAACTTGACACTTGTCCTTGCTGAATTTTCTAAGGTTCCTGACAACCCATTCTTCCACCCAGTCTCGGTCTGTGAATGGCAGCTCTGTCCTCAAGCGCATTTTATGTCATCTGCAAGACAAAAAAAAAAAAAAAAGTGAACTTAATCCCTTTCTCCAAGTCACTGATAAAACTGATGGCAAATAGAATGGCTGTCAGGAGAGATCCCTGTGGTAATCTATTTTTGCCACTGTCCAGGTAGAGTACAGCCCACTAGCCACCATTTCTCACTCTCCTCAGGATCTGGGAACTCACTATGTCAGGGTCACCTACAGCCAAGTTTGCTGTTGATTACTACATCTCCATCAAGTTCTCCCTTCTCAGTAAATACCAGATCCATCTGTCTGTCTAACCTGGTTGTCCTGTGCAGTGCCTGTACCAGTTATCACTGACACCATACAGAAATCTCTTGAACTGCTTGCAGTTGTTGCTCTTTTATCAGATGCCAGGGAGGTTGAGGACTTCCATAAATATGAGGAGGTGTGATGTGGAGACTTGTGTTGTTTAAAGAAGGCTTCATGTAATCCTTACCTTCATCAGTGATCTGTAACAAACGCCCAACACAGTTTCATCCTTACTAGCCTCACCTCCGATTCCATGCCTCAGAATCTCAATCAGACAGTCATCTGTCCCAAAGAAGAGCTCCGTGTATCTGAGCTGCCTGCAGAAGGCAACCTTCACTTCTCATCTTGCTTGTCTGTTTTTCCTGAAAAGCTTGTATCTGTCCAGCACAGCACTCCAGCCATGCAACATGTCTTAGCATATTTCAGGTTATTCCAATACCTAGTTTTATGATCATGCATAGTTTATGACCAGTTTTAGTTTCTCTTTTTTTTTCTGTTTGGTTGTGTGTACTTGTGTACATACACTTGAGGTGGGTGGCCTTCCTTCCTATAACATTCCTGAGGTCTTTTTCATTCCCATCACCCTGCACCCTTTGATTTTCACTCCTGTCCATCTCTACCTCATTGAACTATGAGTCATAATCTCCCTGCCCTCATATTCCTAGTTAAAAAACCTCCTCATGAGGCTGACCAGCCTGTTGGCAGAGACAGGTGCATCCTCTATCTCCTCAGAAGGCCTTGATCCTCAAAATGGGTCCTGTAAAGCCCTTTTAATCATGTTAGCTGTGCAGTTATGTGCTGACCCACGGGGTCTGTCCAATTGCCCCCCTAAGCCCTTTCCTTTCACCAGCAGAACTGAGGAGAATGCCACCAGGGCTCTCATGTCCTTAAGCCTCACCCTGGAGCCATGTAGTCATTGTTGATATGCCAAAGATTTCCCTTGGCAATATGATTAGTACCCATATGAATAAGCTGCATGGGGCTTGGCAAGAGCCAGACAAGACTTGGCAATATCTCCACAAAATACTGTATTAGAGCCCTTGGCAAGCAGCAAAATTCTGTAGACAGCAAATCAGACCATCAGACAGGGGCCTCCATCCCTGCAAGAGCGACTCTCCCACTATCCACCACTTCCTCTAGGTGGCTCAGGCCTGGCCAACTCTGATGCTTCCCCCAAGCATAGCTTCACCCATTCACTAGGGCACTGAAACCACTCTGCAGTGTCCTGTGGTGCAATTGTTGTTCAGCCCAGTGCTAGCTTCATCAAAGTTTCCAGCCACCTTCCCCACAAATTTCAAGAACCAGCAACAAGAGGCTAAGCAGCATTCTAGTTTTCCCTGCGTGCATTGTGATGAAAAATATTGTGGGAGTCACAGCTCTTAGGGTCACAGAATTCCCTTAAGGGCCAATTAAATAACAAGCTGGGAACGGGCATCCACTGTTTTGGATAAGGCATATCTCCATTGTGGGTCTCTCCTCTTCACAGTCACCTTTAAGTTCTACTGTCTGGATTGTTTTCATGCTATAAATGGTCTTTGAACCCTTACTGCTAACTGTTCCTTTTGGTCCTGAAAGAACTGATGATTCACATTGACTGAGAGTTGTCTCTATTTATTAAAGAAAAATGTTTGCCCATAACATCAAGACTCACTATCCAGTGGTTTTACACAGTCATTTCTGATAAAAATTTTCTTGCACATGTTTTCTTGCATAAATGATTTTCCACACATTTTCTTGCATAAATAATTTTGCTATTTTATTTTGGATTTCTCTCACATGTTATGTTCTGTATAGTCTTTCTGCTGAATAAGATTTCCTTCTGTAGGCTAGCATCTGAAAAGTTGCCTAGTATGTTTAATTGCACTATGTTCACAAAGCAGTCTCCATGGCATAGTTAAAAAATTCTGGCTACTTCAGAAAACAGTTATTGCCCATAAGGTGTATGACAGCACTACATGTGCATAGCTTGGATATAGCTTACATACAAACTTCATGCACATGTAAAGGTTGATACAATCAGGCACACTGACCTTGTTTTTTTCTTTATTTTTTTTCCTTTTCATTTTTCTTTATAAAGAGAGCAAGGAGCAGATTTATCAATGCTGAGTATTTTGTTGAAAGACAGAGAAATTAGCAATACATAAGCCATGTGATAATCCTACAACACAATGACTCTGCTCTGTTCCAGACAAAGCCTGAATAAATGTCAAATGAGCCCCCTCAAAACTAGCAATCAATAATCAGCTTTGCTGCTTTCCATTTTTCATCTGTTACCACTGTTTCCTGGACAAATTTTCATTAGTTTTCATGACCCTGCACAGTTACAATTTTTTATGGCAATTATCTGTACTGCACCAAAACAAATCTACCACAATATTCACATTATATATGCTAAAAAGAAATAGAAGTAAAATAAATGTCTCACCAAGTGATGAAGCTAAAATAGTTTGTATTATTTCACTGCTAGTAGAGCTGTGAGCTGAGAGAGCAATGATAAAATGTTGTTTTATGTTGATCTGCAGGACAGTTTTGCAGCAAGAGGAGATAACAAGAGCGAGAAAAGAGGCAAGGTACAGGTGCTGAGCTGCCTACATGCAAAAGCAGCTGGAGTGTGGCAGGGCATCCTAACTCTGGAGAGTGTCACAGAAGCGCAGTTAGGCAGTTTTCAGAACAACTTGTTTCTCTCATGAGCTGCTGTGCCTGAGCTAGCAAGCCTCGTTGTAACTGAGCTAAAATTTCCATCAGAAATCTGCAGCTCATGGAGGGATGAGCAGAGATGTTTTAGTAAGCCTATGGGAGCCAGAGTGGATCCAGCAGGGCTGGCACTGTGCCCAAACTAATAAACCTGTCCCCTTCCAATTGACACTGTGCCTTTTAAATCATCTCTGCTTGGTGTTCTTTGCAAATAGTTCAATGTTCAAAATTTCACTCCTTCTGTTGTTAGGGTTTGAATCTTCTCAATCACATCTTTAGCTTCTCAAACACTTGCTCAAGATTTAGAATTTTCACATGCTAAAAAAACTCTCCTACACTGTATTTTTTCTCTTACCTGTGGCATACAGAAATTGCCACAATGTTTATTTAAAAGTGTCACTGGCCCTTTGAGAAGTGAGCACCATGTATCTTGACCATGAAGGTATGGGAGTGATCATGTCCTCAGTGTTAATTTTTATGAATGTTTTTAGGTTTCTCCGGGCTGCGTCTGACAGGAGGGGACAGTGCCTGCTCAGGACATCTGGAAGTAAGGAAAGAAGAAAGCTGGGCTGCGGTCTGTTATTCACATATTGATTTCAAAGCTGCATCTGTTATATGCAATGAGTTAGAATGTGGGCAGGCTGTGGATATCTTGAGAGGAACTCACTTCGAAGAAGGACGTGAGCTGATCTGGCAGGAAGAGTTCCAGTGTACTGGGAATGAGGCTCACCTCACACATTGTGCCAGGATTTTGCACCACAGTAAGACATGTTCCCATGATGCCAGTGTTGTATGTTCAGGTGAGGTTTTGGACTGATGATCCTAATTTACATATGCCCTACATATCTTCTTCCTGTCAACCTGCTCTGCATATTTGTGTGGCCCTCAGAGGGTTCCTGACTACTTCTCTATGACACCTGAATCCAAGGAAAGTAAGGAAGTAAAAAACAGCCTGAAAATCTCTCAGTCGCTTGCTAGAGTGTCTGCTTGTGCATCAGGGATGACAGTCATTTCTCTTATGGTAATAAAGGAATGGGGTCTCTAGTGCTCAAAACTCCTTCCTTGTCTGTCTTATAAGGATAAGAAGAGCCGTGGTCAGAGCGGACAACCAGCAACATGGAGAACTGAGTTTATCTTCTGCTCTGATAGTCTCATGTTAGTCTCTAATGTTCATGTTAGTCTCTAATGCCTTGGTTAATGCAACCATAAAACAGAGAGAGGTGAATTACATACCTCCAAAGGTGATAGAAGGTAGAAGTTACAAATGCTTATAAGAAAAGCTGGCCTGGAGGCCTGGATGACAGCTATTATGAATGCTAGGTGTCATTATTTAAGAACTTCTGCTTTTATGTACTGGGGACTCTAAATAGGTTAGATTTATGCCACCCACTATAAAAGAGATGATTATACAGAACAACTATGACTTTCTTCTTAGGTCAAAAATCAAAACTGATTAACTCAATGGGGGCAGAGCTGCTCGCAACTCTCTGTCATATAACATGCCCATTTTGCAGCTGAAGTGCTGCAGTCTGTTTTAGCCCTGCCTTTTACACTCTTCCACAGGTCAAGGGCACCTGCAGCCCTGGCTAGGTAGCTGTGGCAGCCAGATAGCTTAATTTAGATTGCAATGATTGACAGTTCTTTGCTGCTACTCTGTCCTTCGCCATGATTCCTTCTCCTCCTTCTCCAGCACAAGGAGGAAATCCAGCACTAGGAAAGTCTCAGTAGGGGAAGTATAATGCAAAAATGAGCCAAGAACTTGGAAAGGGAAAAGGAAGTTTGAGAAGATATGCAGACTGCAATGGAGCTGGCAGGCAGCACTGTTTAAGTACTTAGCATCTTAGACTCCATAGCCCTAGACATACCAGAATTACATTACTGTGAATTTGCCAATGTGAATCGCCTGCTGTGCTCAGAGCCTTCGGCTGTGGAAGAGAAGAAAATTAAGAATCTGCACACCACAGCTGCTGCACACTGAGTAATGTGACATAAGCTGCTACTGAGAGTAAGAATAGTACTAGGAGCCCCTGCTCTGAGTTTCTCACCTGTTTCAAAGGCAAGTAAATGCTAGGACAGATTCTACAAGTTACGATGTTAAAGGTTGCAATATTGTGCTGAGAGGAGGGACTGAATTTAGAGACTCTCAAAACTTTTAATCAAGTAGTGCAGACACGGACAATAATGACTTGTTTTTTCAAAACTGATTTATGAGTCTCCTGGTCAAACGTTCTCCCCAGCAGATTGGAAAAGAGTGGGTGCTAGTCCCATGCAGCTCTATTTCCCTTATGATTTCCAAAGGAATAGCACAAGCAAAGTATTGCTCTTAAGTTCCTTTATTCTGCTTGCAGGCTATGGCGGGTACAGGCTGGCAAATGGCACTACCACATGTTCAGGGAGAGTAGAACTTCTTCATGGAGGCATGTGGGGAATTCTTTGTGACTACATGTGGGACCTCCCAGCTGCCAATGCCCTCTGCCAACAGCTGGACTGTGGAGTTGCCCTATCGATCCCAAGCGGACAGTCCTTTGGGAAAGGAAATGGATCATTCTGGAATGGCACATTTGGATGTGAAAAGAATGGCTCATGGCTGAGAGACTGTCGTGTTGGTGTGCTGGGTCGCACTGACTGCCCTGCTGGAAAAGATGCTCGTGTGGTGTGTTCAGGTGAGCAGCAGGAAAGGGAAAGAAGTGAACTAAAGAATTCCTTCTTTGAGACAGATATGAACCCGGAGGGGTGAGGGGGTGGGGGTCCAGGAGGTATCTGTGGAGCCGAGCTGCATCTTTTGCCTCTTACTACAGGCATTTCCACAAGCTAAGGTTGCACAGCACATGTAGCACAAGTCTGCTTTCTGTGAAATGCTCCTAGTGCCAATGAACAGTGAGAACAAGGCTGCTCCAGAAAGGAGAATAATAGGAGAATAGAGGGTGGTCATAGCACGTGCAATTTCCTTGTCAGGGCATAGTCCAGAGCATCTGAAAACAAAGTACAGAGGCTGTAACAGAGTCCATCAATAGGCCTAGACAAGTCAAAGTAACCAATCAGGTTCGAGGTCCATTTGGGGAGACCAGTCAGGAGTAGCTGGATATAGGTCCAGAGACAGGCCTGTAGGCAGATGCAGCAATAACATAATTCAGGCAAGGGCTCAAGCCCTTAGCTTGTCTGAAGGCCAAGCTTAAGTGCTTCCCTGGACCAACGGCTGCAGGGTTCATAGGTCAGGGTTTCATTGGGACTGCACCCAATGCCTATTGCTCCTGAAATCTAATGCCCTCAGTTTAAAAATTGCAAAGGAGTCCATATTTGGATTTCTATTCATTCTCAGTAAAATCGAAGTGACTAAAGTATGATGAAGTATGAAAATTCCTGTGACCCTGTAGAGTACTTTTTACCCCTGAATGCCAAGGAAAACCGGTTCCCATTTCCCAGTCTCCTTCAGATTATGTCCATGAGCAGTTAGCAATATACCATTTTAGTACTCACTTTCTCTCCTATTCAGGGTGTCAAGGGGCTAGGTTGGTGAATGGCACCACATGCTCTGGAACAGTGGAGATCCGACATGGAGACAAATGGGGAAAACTCTGTGGCTCCCACTGGAATTTGCAAGCTGCCAGTGTCCTTTGTAATCAGCTCAACTGTGGCTACGCAAAGTCCATTCAAATAGGACAGCATTTTGTGGATGGAAATGGACCTGTATGGAGAGACGCTTTCTACTGTGAAGGAACTGAGTCCTGCCTGTGGGACTGTGCTCACATGACTTTGGGCAATCCTTCCTGTTCAGCCAGAGAAGCAGCCACTGTTGTTTGCTCAGGTAAGTCAGAAATGTCCTTTTTATGTAGTGCGGTTTCAGAGTGAAGCAGTTTTGATTATCTCAGCATGCCCCAAGTCTGGTTTGTCAGCATTTATTTAGAGCATTTATTCCCTTTTCCCTTTACTACCCTTTCTTCTCCTCCCTTCCCCTTTCACTTCCCCAGGGAGATGTATCTGATGATGCAGTAAAAGACCTGCTTTGCTTGACACTAAGATTGTACTGGTACAAGCTGAGGAGAGTGAATAGTGAGGCTGAACCTTGCAATTTGCAAACTCCCTTCATCCTGCCAGGGCCTCCATCTCTTCTGAGCATGGCTATATGAAGGACATGTACAAGCTATGTGGCCATTATACACCTACATACACTTTTTTGCTCATGAACAAAATTCTGTCCTTGCTTCCCTTGTCCTTTGTGATCCTGATAAAGGCTTTGCACTGCGTGGTCTAGTGTGTAGGTGTGGACGAGAAACAGTAAATATTTAGTTTTGTTAGTGAACCAAAATATTCATACAAATGTTCATTTCTTCACCCAAGATGATACAGATTTTAATTCTGCTCCTATATCAGCCAGTACTTCTCCAGGGTATGTCCTCCATCCTATTCAACGGTTGCCTATTGCCACAGAGATGGATGGAACTAGCTGAAGGAAGAAGTTTTAGTCAAACATTTTGTTAAACCTTTGTTGTTGTATTCTGCATTAAGAAGCAGATTCCAAACACCACCATACTACTGTCAGTGTAAGGCAATAGGGAAAAATGAAATATGAATGCAAAGATCAGGCTTAGAGTGATTTTTCGTGCAAAACAGTTATATCAGTTTCTCTTTTCTGTGTCACAGCAATCCTCCTCTTAACTGTGAATCTATCACTTTATTTAAAAATGAATACTGAAATGTGCATAGAACTAATAACTTGTCATGTGGAAAGTATTAAAATCATTCTTTGACCAAGAGAATTATAGAAAATCCTCACCTTTGCAGTAAGCACTTCTGCACCTTTATGTGCCACTTTATTTTGGTAGTTTCTAATGAATGCTAGGATGATTTATTGCTTATATGTCACCAACATGCTGCACGCTGACTGAAGGTGAAGAGGGAAGGCTTCCTTCCCTTCCCTTCCCTTCCCTTCTCTTCCCTTCCCTTCTCTTCCCTTCCCTTCTCTTCCCTGCCCCTCCCCTCCCCTCTCCTCTCATCATAGTCCAGTGTGCAGACTCCCATCACCCAGCTCCCCATAGAGTGCTGTCAATGTGCAGCATGCACTTCTAAGGCTTTCAGCATAAGCACTTTGTTTAATAGGGTTCTCCTCCAGAAATATTCACACTGTCCCTGACTCCTCACAGGATGTAGTCTTTGAGCTGGAGAAGCCTTTTTTTTCTGCAGATTTTTGCACTGCAGAACTTTGTATGCATGGGGGCAAGCAAAGCCTTAACTGAGACCCTGTTTGATCAGTGGTGAGGACTATTATTCCACAGATACAGAAATCTGACTTCCATCACTTGCCTACACATTATTTTCACTGAGGTAAAAGCAGTGGACAATATTAATTTTCTAATTCTTGAGCCCAGGCCTTGCTGAATCACTCAGACTTGCAGGTGGAGAGAGCCGCTGTGATGGACGAGTTGAAATCTCACTCTATGGCATGTGGAGAAGAGTTCTGGATGATGACTGGGACATTAAAGATGCTAATGTGGTCTGCAGACAGCTGCAGTGTGGAATTGCCGATAAAGCCTATTACCCTTCAAGGTCTGAACGAGGGATGGGTCTTGTTGGTTTAAGAAGTGTCCAGTGTTATGGAAATGAGACTCAGCTGATGCTCTGCAAGACCTCCTATTCTGGAACAGTGCCAGTAGGAGTTGCTGAGGACGTTGGTGTGATATGCTCAGGTGAGTTACTGCGCGAAAGGAACAGAATGCTTTTGGGGCATTCTCCAGTGCTGTGGTCTCACCAGATCTTAAATAGGCATGAATCTGAGCTTGTGATCCTCAAATGCTTATATATTCTCAGGGATGAGTCATAGTTAAGGAAACAGCTGTAATTTGCATTGTGCTTTTTAAATCTGAATGTCTTAAAAATTTAGTTTATAAAATCAGAGAAAAGAATAGAATACAGAAATAAGTTTGATGTGATTTGTGACATTCTGTCATTCAGAAATTCACTGGGTTTTGTTATGTGACATTTCCATATCTAGAGAGTCATGCAGTATTTCTAAACATCTGTGTAGAGTAAATCAAATCTGTTGTAAATTGAAAACTTTGATTTGATTTTGTAACCTCATCTGTAACAGAAGCTGTATTTGCCAAATTTTAGTTTAGTTAGTTTTAGTTTTAGTTTGAAAACAGCTTTTCAGGCTTTCCAAGATAAGATGCTGTTTGCAGCATCTCACAGAAATTGTTCAAATATTTCACGGATGCGAAGTAGACCTTTCTTTTAATGTGGTCTTAGCATCACAGGAGTTCTGCTCAGCTAATCATAGCAAAAATATTGAAATATAACAAGAACATGATGCCTTAAAAAAGCTTCAAAGATACAGCCCTTACACTGATTTGTGCATTGTCATTATATTGCATGCTGACAAAATGGGATTTCTTCCTGCAGGGAGCAGGCAGATCAGGCTGGTGAATGGGACAAAGCGCTGTGCTGGGAGAGTGGAGCTTTATCATGATGGCATATGGGGAACCATTTGTGATGATGCCTGGGATCTATCAGATGCCAATGTTGTTTGCAAACAGCTGGGATGTGGGCATGCCATCCAGGCTTTTGCCTCTGCTCATTTTGGAGAAGGCTCAGGACACATCTGGCTGGATGATGTGAACTGCACTGGGAATGAATCTGATCTCTGGACATGTTCCTCCAGGGGATGGGGCAAGCATAACTGCCGACACAAAGAAGATGCTGGAGTCCTCTGCTCAGGTGTGTTCAGGGAAAGCCTTTGTCAGCATAGGGAAGGGACATGAAGGGGCAGCTGAGAATGGCAGAGATTTTCTTTGACAGCCTCTGAATCCCTCGACTGCAAACGTGGTGGGCCAGCATGCCTATTTCCTTTGCACAAAGATACAAAAAAGTTGCTGAAGTCTTACTTTTGCGTTAGTAAGAAAAGGGAAGGCAAGGCAAGGCAAGGGATGGGAACAGAAAGGTGGGTGTGGGTGTAGTGAGCATAAATTGCAGGGTTTCGGTAGCAGGGAGGTGCTGCTGTGACCTGTGTGGGAAGAAGTCAAGAACTGTCATGTGCCAATTACAGCCTGTTACCGATGGCACTCAAAATAGCTCTGAAACATCTTATGTGTACCAAAACTTTGACTTTAACCAATCAGAGTAGCACATGGTGCCTGTGCTCAAACATATTTAATAAAGAGCAGCAGCTGTGAGGGGGAGGACGAATGAAAGAGACACATGGAAGGTGACATTATTGGCAGCGCAACTGGATGTGATATCCTGGAAGTAGGCACTCTGCTAGAGGAAACAGTATTTGTACAAACTGCATACAAGAAGTAGTTGAGGTCATTAGCCAGTGGCCTGTGAATCAACAGTATGAGGAAGACCAAATTCCTTGGGTTGCTGAAGTCCCAATGAATGATGAATTGAGTGCTGCAAATAAATATAGGAGTTTTTTTGCTGATAGATCCCGTAATAGCACAGTAGGAAAGAAAAGGGATGGCAAGCCACTGCTTGAAACCTTTCTACAGAAAAAACTACCACCTCAAAGGGACTGGAGAGTCCAGCCAATTTGCAGGAGTAAAGGCTTTGAAATATAGCTTCAGGAGCATCAGTGGTCCCAGGCATATACACTCTTAGATGGCAGATAACAGTGTGGAAATGGCTCAAAAAAAAAAAAAAGAATCATGATAAACCAATTAGGGCACCAGGAGAATGAAGAATAATAGAACAGCTCCTTGAAACAAACCAAAACAAAAACCTACTTAAAAAACTCATTTTAAGTGTACATATGCCAAATTCGACAGCAACTGAAGAAAAGCAACACAGTAACAAAGTTGACTGGCTGACCTGACTTGCCAGCATAGGTATGGGATGGGAACATAAAGAAGAACTATCTTTAGCCAGATGGGCCCTTGAAACAGCTGGACATTCTGGGAATGTTCGGGCTTTTTATTGGGGTAGAGAATGTGCTTAGGTCTGTCTCAGGAGGTCATAAGGCAAGCAGTTAGGTGGTGTAACCTCTGTGAAATAGGAGAACACATTCAAGAACTATGAACAGTGAGAATGAATGGGAGAAATGGATATTTGGAGAAGCCTGGCAAGTAGATTAGTCAGTCGATTACTACCCTCCAGTAACACTGACAGGTGCTACATTCCCACAGTGGTAGAACTATCAGAAGGCTAGAAGCTTTCCTCGCTCAGACAGCAAATGTGAGCAACACACCAGAAAGGGAAAAAAAAACCAACATATCTGTTATTCCCATGAAATACTGCTTCGGCAAGAACTGGATAATGAAAGTCATCAAAAACACAGTAATCCAAGAATGTTCTCAAGATCATGAAGCAGAGTTGGTGTATCATATTTCTTGCTTTTCCCTTGCAGCTGGAAAATTAGAGCTGTGCAAATGGGTTAAAACCATGCTAAAAGTCCTAG